ATAAAATATAATACTGTTTGTAAAGTATTAAAGTAAATTATTCAATATGTAATAGAGATAAAGTTCTCTATTTAATTATGTTTTTTGACTTTTTTAATAATAATATTATTTTGATTATATAAAATTAACTAAGTTTTTAGTTTGTTTTTGTAGTATCTAGTTGTAAAAAGTAAAAAATATACAGATAATACTTTTTATAATCATGTAGTTGAGACGATAGTAAGTTTTTTAATAATGTTTTTATAAAGAGATTGTACTTATATAGAGGTTTTTTTATACTTTTATAATAATTTGTTTAACAAAATTATATGCTTATATAGTAATTATATAGAGTATAACTATATAAGATCTAACTGTATATTAAATAACTATAAATATTAAATTTTATTTTTTTTGTTTGTTAAAAAGTATTTAGATTATTTTTTAAAGTTAAAAATTATTGTGTTTTACAATTTTAAAAATTTGTTATATTTATAAAGAAATATGCTATTATTCTAATAATACTAAGCTATTACTTGAAGTTAATTGTTTTAAATATATAATTTGGTTTGTACAAAGTTGTTTTTTGAATTAAGAATATAATTTGTATAAATGTAGTAGTTTTTTAATAGATGTATATAAATATAGTAAATATTAACTTAGATGCCATATAGATAACTAAATAAAGTTAGTAATATAAATTAAAATAGCAAATATAGTATTAGTAATAATTAGTTCTATAAAAATAACTATAAAATTGTACTAGATTAAATTTAAAAACTAATAAACCAACTGGCAATATTGCTAAAATATAAAAAATATATATATATTTTTTAAATTTGATAAACTTGTTAAGATTTATGTTTTTAATATTAATAAATTAAAAATAAATTAGCAATCTTTAATTTATAAAATTTTTTTTAAAAAAAATTATAATACTTACCAAATAGATTACTAATTTGAAATACTTAAAAATTAGTATTTGGCAAATAATCTTAAACTATTAGACATTTCAAATTATTATGCACTTGATATAGTTTCTTTAAATAATATAATTTTTTTAAATTAAGCAAGTATTGTCATATTATGCAAAATATAGATTCTAAAATTTACTATTTATAGAGTAAATAAAAGTCTCTCATATAATGTTGAATAGGTTAGTACTTAAAAAAAGCATTGAATTTGGGTAAGTACTAAGAGTAAGTATATTTTTATTAGCTATACTGTGAGATTTGTTTTTTTTATATACTTTTTTTTTATATACTAATTACACTAATTATGCTATATATGCTAATTATACTAATTATGCTATATATGCTAATTATATTAATTATACTATATATGCCAATTACACTAATTATACTAAATATACTACATTTACTACATCTATTATTAATTATGCTAATTATGCCACATCTACTAATATGCTATATATGTGCTATATCTAATAATTACTATATATTATTATTTTATTATGCTATATAATTTAAATAAAATATTAACAATTCTATTTTAGATCATGACATTTTTTCTCACTTTAATACATTTATTTCATGAATTTAAACCAAACTGCAAAAATCTTTGGCCTTTATTCTTGCCATTACAGTTATGTTGATATTTTTTATACAATAGATTTAGGTAGGTCTATATATTTCAAACAGCCAAAATGCTCTTGTTGCAGTCATGAAGTAATGTTTTGTGATCACCTTTCAGTAAAAGGTTTGTTACTTGGAATCCATTTTGATCAGCATTTCATTTAGGTAAAAAGTATAAACTAGACTTTTAGTGTAGTTTTTAAGTTTGATGTTCTTAAGTATTTGCTAATATGTCTTTATTACTTTGTCATCTAGATCTTCTGTTGAATGGTATGGTAGAGGTATAACAGTTACATCTTGCAAAGTAGTTAATAATAGGTTATTGATTACTTTGCTGAGAAGGACTATTCATTTTAGGATGAGATTTTTATTTTTTTCTTGTTTTTTAATTAGTTAATTTGTTTGTTGCTTGCTTTCATTATTTGCTACTTGCTAGTTTCTTCTTTTTATTTCCTAAGTTTAGTTATCTAATATTTTTGCAAATTATTTATTATTTATTTATTATATATATTATTATTATTTTTTTTAGATAGTTTAGCCACAGGTTGAAAAGTATTTTTCAATTTTTTTCTTTTGTTGTTTTGTTGTTTCTGCAAGTACTAACTTTTTTCTTTTTTATTTTTTATTCAAAATTTATTTATTCATTCTGAGCTTCTTTAGTAGGTCTTTACTTTTTTTCTTTCTCTTCTTAAATACTTATGTCTATTTCGATTGCTATCTCAGACAGTTTCAAGCTTCATGGTACTCCTTTAGTTGTGCTTTATTGATAAAAAATTTTATAACTTGTTCATTCAGAGTTCTTATTTTATAGGATCTGTTAGCTAAAACCTTATATACAAAAAATGGGCTTTTCTATTTTTAGTTTAGTTTATGACTTTTAGACATTAGATGGGCAGCATTAAATAATAATACTTTGGTGCCAATATAGAACTTTGATGTAACCTTGATGTATTGATCATAGTATGCCTTCTGTTTTAGTTATGCAGATTGTACTTGTTTACTGTCTTGTTTCATTGAATTGGTATCTGATTTAGTAAATTAAAAGTTCTTTAAATGATTGTTCTATTTAAGATATTAGTAGTATTACCAGGATGTAGAGACAATTGAGTCTTTCTTCTGTAAACTAAATAAACTAGTGTTATTTTTGTAAAACTTTGTTTTGTTGTATAATATACAAAAAGTATTGGTAGGATAAACTAGTTCCAATTAGTAATGTTTTGAATTGTCTTTGCTATTAACTTACATAATATTTTATTGTACTGTTCAACAAGACTGTTACTTTGTAAATGATAGAAAGTCAACAGTTGATGTTTATTTTAGAACTTCTTTAATAATACTTCAATTAATTCATTCCTAAAATGTGTGTCTTGATCAGATGACAGGTATATAGGGCAACTGTACTTGCATATAATTTCTTCATAAACAAATTTGGCAACTGCAACAGCATTGTCCTTCTTAATTGCTCTTGTTTTAGGCCATTTTGACATATAGTTAGTAGCAATAACTATATAACACTTGTTTCTAGAGATGATGGGTAGAGGTTCCATAATGTCAAACCCAATATAGTAAAATGGTAAGTCCACTGGAATCATGTAAAGAGGTTCTTGAAGTTTGTTTTTCTTCTGTCATTAATATGAATCACATGTATGAATATATTTACAGATGTTTTTAAACATCTGGGACCAAAAACAGTGTCTTTTTATTTTATTAAACATAGCTGCTTGCCTCATATAACCTTTAGTTAGATGATTGTGCACAAGAAATAGAATGGGCTCTATCTTAAGCATTTGTATTACCTTCAGCCAATTACCCTTTTCACATCTATCTCTTTTATATAATGCATTTGTTTCACCTTAAAGAACCTTGATTTAACTTTATTCTTGCTTGTTCTTGTTTATTCAACCCAAGTAATAGGTATTAATTAATTATAAAATGTTTTTGGCATTAATAATGGGTGGAATCTATGTTGCAGACTATAGACTGATTCAACTTTAAGCTAAGTATAGTAATTTTGTAATTTTTTTTTTTTTTTATTAATTTGTCTAACTTTTCTTTTTTGAATTTTTATTGTAGTGCCAGGACACCAGTTACCTGGTCTGAATTTAGGTATTGAAGTTTTTTTTTTGCTAATTTTAACTTTTTGATTTGTACTTAAATATATGAAAAAGCATCAGCATTCAAATGCTTTTATTTTGGTTAGTATTTAATAATATAGTTCTATAGTTATAAATATAGAATCCAACATGCACATCTTTTTTTGAATTTCAATAATTCTAACTACTTTAGAGCTAAGTAATTGGTTACAACTATGAATAGCTTATAGCCAAAGTAATGGTGAAAATATTTAATTACTTAGATTATAGCCAGGTATTCCAGCTCAGTTGTAGAGTAATTTTTTTCAGGTCTAGAAAGACTTTGAAATATATAAGCGACTATGCATTCTTTATAATCATCTCTAACTTGGGCCAAGACAGCACCTAACCTTACTTTAGATGCATTAGTGTATAAAAAAAACCTTCTGTCAAAGTTAGGTTAGTTTAATATAAAAGCAGAAATTAGATGTTGGTTGAGGGTGTTAAATACTAGTTGTTGTTGAGTAGTTCAACTATAGGAAGTGTTTTTTTGTAATAGGTGCTATAATAGTTTTGTAATTGTTGCAAAGTTTTTAATAAATTTACAACAATAAGATAATAACTCTAGAAAACCCTGTAATTGCCATATGTTTTTGGATACTGGAAAATTTTAGACTTTTTCTGTTTTTGCCCCATCTGGCTGTATTTCATTTTTACTAATAATATGATTCAAAAAATAATGTTCTGAAAAAAAAACTGGCATTTTTCTAAATTTAACTTAAAATCTGTATCTTTAATTTTTTTAAATACTTGGCTCAAGTGGTTAATATGTTTGGGTAGGATGTGAGAATAAATATTAATATCATCAAGATATACTGTGACAAATTTATTAGTAAATTTGTATAGATTTTGTCTATCAGTCTTTGAAACATTGCAGGGGCATTACAAAAACCAAATAACATAATTGTAAACTTAAATGTTTCAAATTTGGTTACAAATGCTGTTTTTCACAGTTTTTATCACTTATTTGAACCTTCTAATAGTCACTAGCAAGGTCAAGACTACCAAACCATTAGGCACTGCTGAATGCTTCTAGGAAATTATCGATATAGAGAAAAGAATATGCATCCTTTTATTTATTTGTTTAACTGTTAATAGTTAACACACATCCTTAATTTGTTATTTTTTTTTGGAACTAACACTATAGAGAATGCCTAAGAGCTAAATTATTCTTTAATCAATTCTTTCTTCTTTAGTTTATTCAACTCCTCATACACAAATTCTTGTTTGCTAGAAGCCAAATAGTAAGATGCTTGTTTAATTGGTTCAAGATCATTAGTTTTGATCATGTGCTTCATGTGATTAGTTTTCTAAGCTCTTCTAATCCATTTGCAAACAAAACTTTATTTGCTTTAAACAATTGCTTTATATTTGCTTTATACTGTGCTTCTATATTCAAACTATCTACTATTCTAACTAATTGGTTTTTTACAGATAGTTTTTTATCGACAGAAACCTTTTCTTCTTTAATATTTTTATTGTCAACTTTTCCTTTTGACTCACTTTCCAACACTTCATTAACTAAAATACTATCTGTAAAGTACCTTTTAAATTCTTTTAAATTCTTTTAAATTCTTATTTTTATATTCAAATTTCTTAAATAGATCATTATCATTATTTTCATTACCATTATGGTCACCTGACCTCACATTCTCATTCACATACACCTCCTGTTTTTCTTTATCTATATGCATTATAGGCACTTTAAAGCTCCTACCTAAATATCTAATTACTAGTTTTTGCTTATTAAAATCTATCATCACTCAAGTTTTTTGAAACTAGTCAGTTTTTAGTAGCAAATTCTTATCAACAGATTCCAATACTTTAGGTAGGTGGGTATATTGATGCTATTTATATTAATATTCACTTTAGCTGTACTTCCTAACATATATTCTCTAGCACCTGTTGCTGTAATTACCACTGTTTTTGATTTCTCCTTTATACTAATCTTTAGTCGATCTGCCAGTTGCTTTGTTATAATACTTATTGCTATATAGTATCTAATACAGTTACTACAGACTTGTCAGTGATATACATATAACATATTGCTGTAGTTGTTCATTTTTAAGGTTGAGAATCTACAAGGTTTGCTTTCTTAGTATGGGGTAGTCTTTTGAGAGCTCTTGCCAAATTCCTTTTTTGATTGAGATATTGTAGAAGTTGTTTAAATATTGCATTAGACTTTATTATCAAGGAATTATTGGCAATGTTGTATAGTTCAATTTTATCTATAATAAATAGTCCTTGTTTACAGTAAAGGTTAGTAGGGCCTTTAAAGAGGCAGAGGCTACTTTATTTATTATTTTATTGCTTTGGAACAAGGGTCCTGCAATAACTACTATAGGTGAAGAGAATGCGATACTTTTTGTTTTTTTCTTGAGTTTCTCAACTATTTTCAAGATTTTGAGATAGTTAACTTCTTTTTTTTTACTTCATATTGCTAGTAGATAGGGTTCCTAAAGTTCAGTTCAGTTCAAATAAGATTAGTTCAGTTTAATTGAACTTGAACTGAACTGAACTGAACTCTCTAATTTTGAACTTGAACTGAACTTGAACTAAACTTAAACTTAAACTGAACTGAACTGAACTTGAACATAACAAAAGTTCAGTTCAATGTTCAGTTCAAAGTTCATGAACATGTTCAGTTCAATATATTTTTATATACATA